TTTTCTCTTCATAAATCAATGAACATATCCTAATGAATGACAACTTCATTTACAAGTTTTTTTTTTTACAGATATATGTATGATCTGATATATCTTTAATATGCGTGTCGCGCGCACCTATGTATATATAGACACGTTATATTTGAAGTATTGCACTTATAATTTTTTGAATGGACACGTAATACTTTATTAATCTTGCTACTAATACTATGGTGGTGTTTGCAAATGATTATTTAAAAGCAGAAGTTAGTGATTGTGATTTAAGTTAGTTTTAAGTGCTTATTTCTAAAAGTTGGGGGTGTTTGCAAAAATTTTGAAAAATGAACTAACATTGAAAAAGCAGGGTTATGGGTGCTTTTAAAAAAATAGCTTAAAGCAGATTATTTTAAGAGAAGCAAAAGCAAAAGTTGATTTTGCAAACACCTAAAAACAGATTATGAGCAAAAAAAACCGCATAATCACTTTCAAAAAGCATTTGCAAACACCACCTATGTTGAATGACAAGATTATTTACAAACTTAATTTTTCAGTGAATTGTATTATTCAATAATTATTATGACAAAGGACTTAGTAGCACAATGATCTTTTGGTGCTACCAATTCAAAAGGGGGTGCTGACATGGTCTGACGTCACTCTATTATTGAGGAAAATGTTGATACTTCAACGTTCAATTTTAATTAGGTCGTAATTAGATAATTGAATTTGATTATTCAAATAATAAAAATGAATCAATTCAATTTGAACAACAGATGATGATTACGTAAGTGTGACAATATAGTCAGAAAATTACTTAGACTTCTGGTTTTATATATATATATATATATATATATATATATATATATATATATATATATATATATATATATATATATATATATATATCAATGGAGAAAAAAGTTGTTTCTTCAAACATATTTGTCTTGCGACATTATTTTATATCATATTTAGCATATGATGATAGACAAATACTTGACAAAATATGGTGGGATCTACACTTTGAAATACCGAATTATATATACAAATTATTATTATTATATATATATATTTTTTTTAATGAGGGAATTCGAAGACAAACATACGAGTTGTGCTGCACTGCATAGATGTACTCTCGTATAATAGCTTACAAACTCACGAGAGATGTAAACCACATTATGCTAATCATAAGTGACAAACTCGACCTAGCAAGTTGATTCGGACCTGAATCTATTGAATTAAGCTAATTTGCTCCAACCGTTAAATCATCCGGTCGCGGAACGAATATACAAATTATTGATTGATTATCGTAAATCACCAAAATAGTCAAGATCAATTTCAAAGATTTCGTTTGTTAGGGGTAAAATTGTAATTAACCTACGAATTTTGTTGTTTAAATACATTTTAAATCCACCACATTATTTCAAGCCCTTCCAGAAGCCGCACAACATATATTACTGCATTGTGACCATACAATTCTTACTGATGTAGATATAATGGTATATGTTTCTTTATTATTATTTTTTTTCTTCCCTTTTAGTTTTGTGATCCTTTGTATTGACAAATAATTGAAAAAAGGAGTTTTTCATTTTTTTTTTATTTTTTTATTAGTATTTTCTTTTTTGTTAGTGAGGAAAAAGTCAACATAAAAGATGATGATCTCAAAGTCGAGAACAACATGTTTGACTTCTATTTCCCCTTGGACCGGGGATGATTGGCCTCCGTCTATAGTAGAAACTGCTTATTTCTCTAGTCAGTTCTTACACGAAAAGGCGAAATTCCTCTGGCCCGACATATTTTCACGAAAGAATATAAACTATGATGACTCGACGATTCATCAGGATGACATATTCGGGTCTCGTATCCGTACAGAACCAACTCTCATTATAATTGAAATTCTCATACTACGACTGCAACCTCGCACCAACTTACCACCCCGTTACCAGATGAGTTAAACCCATACGAGCAAGGAATAGTATATCATGTTTGTATTGTTTAATATAAATAGTAACTATTTATAAACTAGTTCAAATATGCAAAATGGTACCGTAAATTCTGAACCGATTTCGTTGAGTATGTCAAACACAACATTAAATGCCAATAAATACTAAACAATTTATATCAAATCTCCGACAGAGTCAAGTCCGTGACACAACTAGAACAAATCCTGTGACCAATTCGGACCATACATATATACAATTTAACTGCATTTGTCCCTATCCACTTTTGTCCTTCTGCCGGCCTTGTACATTTTTATTCCAAATCTAAGTTGCATTCGAATAGAAGAATTTAACTGCATTTAAAAATTATTAACTGTTGAAAAGTGACTTCTTCTTTTTTATCAACTCATGCACTATATTTATCTCCGTATCATATTAGCTTTTCGAGTCTAATTCAAATATTGTACAATTTTTTTGACTCAACTTTAATTACGCCACGAATTTGCTCGAAGAATATAAAATTAGTCGGAGACAAAGAAAAGAGCAGCATTAGATGACTTAAGGTTAAAAAAATGTAACCTCATATACAAAATTTTCGACTATTAAATATCGGCAGTTGATTCTAAGTAGGAACCAGTCTTGTTATAACTTTACATTTTTTAATATCGTCAGTTCATTCCAAGTAGGAAACTTTACATAAACTATCGCAATTAAGTTATAATATTTGGAGATACTCCACGTTCATTTTTTTTAATTAACAGAACCAGAATTAAGGGAATAAACCAAACGAAAAGTCAAAGTCATGGTCAAGGCACCTAATACATGGGACGCGACCATGTACAATTCGTACTGCACTCGATGCGTTCTGGAAATGTGTTTTAAAATATGTTTAGAATTTGAAACATTCAAATATCTAATTGCTACTTACTCAGCTAAAATTAAGACATAATACTATATTTCAAATACAAGCAGTTGCAATTAAATTACTTTCTGTGCTTACTGTAAAGATGGTAATTACTTACAAAGCTATTCGGTGCTTTCAATTATTTCTTGTCCCACACGAAGCCATGCATCTTGTTCGATACTGTCACACAATTTTAACAATATTCCAAAATATATCTTTCCCTGTTCATCCAAAAAATTGCAGACCACATGGTAATCGTATATTTAACGAAATTTTGCCCGGGAAAAAAAACGAGAAACATATTTTCTATGTAGTATAACTTTTTACTGACCTTTAATCGTCTGTAAGATGCTAAAGTAGCTAATGGTTCGTTGGATCTCTGAACGGACCCACCTAAGAAAGTTGTATTTATCATCTGGCAGCGATTGCAACCGCCCATTGACTGCACAAACAAAAGACGTGAGAGAAATATATACGAATTTACAATATTATAAAGTGAATATTTTGCAATAAAATTGAACTAACTGTAAATATTCTCTCCCCAATCTGAAGATTCGTCCATCCATCTTCCGAATAGGGTTTTCCACCGGACACGACCAAATTCGGACGAAATCGAGTTATGTTGACTTCAGTATGCAACTCTAGTTAAACAACGTAACAATTTCGTTGACAAAATTCAGTAATTTTCTCAGATATATATTATGACAATTACAAAAATAACAGATCGGATATAACATACTAGATCTTAGTCTGTTGTTGAGATCGGATATGCTTTCCTCGGATATTAGCAAAAATTGACCTTCATTGACGAAATTCAATTTGGTCTCCACATCTCTGCGCATCCCTATATTCCGATTCTTATTTGAGCATATATTATTTTCAAAGGCATAATTTCGTACGAGCTTGCAAGGCCGACCAATAGCGTAGCTAAACCAAGTGTCGACTTCGTTGCAGTAGCCTTGGACGTCATATCTAATGAAGACATGAATAAATTATAAATGTTAACCAAAAAAAAAATACAAATAAAGAGAAAAGTTAGCAAATCTGATGTAAGTACCTCTGAGAATATATTTCCGTCATTTCTCTTTCGGCAATTAATTCACTAGAAGTGAGTCCAATCTCCAGTTTCTCTTTGCAACGTGGTGATTCAACAGTAAGTAGTCCCAATTTGAGATCGACCACTGTTGTAATAAATCCCATTTCAGGAACCTAGAATTTCAAATTTTTTGAGTGAAACAAAAGCATCGCACTAAAATAATACCCAACATAATTTGTTCGATCCCCGTATATATTTTTAGGTTTTTTTTAACAAGTCTATGAATAAAAGCTAAAAGAAAAATGCACCATGATGACAATTCACCTTCTTTTGGGTCAATATTTCTCCACTCAAGCTCTTGAGAAGCCATTCTCTATCATGTAACAATCCTGTATTTCAGAGCAACAATTACACAATCAGAATTCCACAAAAAAATAATAATAAATAAATAAATAAATAATAAAAATACTATGAATGCAAAATGGTTACGCCTCTTTTAAGTATAGCATTGCTTAGGAACTATAAGAAGTTCAATAAAAATACCAGTACTACTTAAAGGCCAGCTCTCCACCCTGAAACCGGCACATGATTTTATCGGATAAATAATAATTGATTTCAGAAAATATCTTGTGGTAACTGTTTCAGGATCAAAAGGCTTTTCGAAATACGTCAGTTGAGAAGGCGAGGACACAAATGAACTCACGATGAACTTCAAAAATTTCTGCACAACAGTAAAATAAGGGCGATTTAACAAAAGACTTATCAAGAAAAAAAAACTGAAAATTTCCAGCGCCAGATAAGAATATACCGAGGTATCTTCAAATGTTGACATGTAACCAAACGAGACCCTAACTGCTCCAGTAGGTTTTCCGTGCAATATGTCACGATCATCCCAGCAAATATGCCCTGCCTAAATGAGAATAAAAAATTGTGCAAATCTTCAATTAGATTATAGTTGATAATCAATCTATTTTGGTGAAGCGAAAAAAGGATATACCTCGATGTTAGAAAGAAGATCCGATTGAGATAAACCAAGATGTTTTGCACATGCACCAGGATTACAAAAGCAACCTGTCTAAGCAATATCAGAGAAAAACAAAATCGAAAAAAAAACCAGATCAGAGATCTCCAAAAAATGCACTGTTTGCTATAATAAGCCAACTTATCTTTCTTAACGACTAACTAAAATAGCCAAGACTAAGAGTATTTTACTGAAGTTTGTAACTCTTACCCGTAACTGAATATTGGATAAGGATGCCAGTTTTTCCACCTCACGATAGCCAAACCAAGAACCATCAGGCCTTCTCAAGTTGAACGTCACTGTCGGACCCATATTTTTCCGTAATAACTGAGGAAGAATGTTCGAAAATGACAAAAACATGCAAAAGATCACATACATCAAAATATATCTGAATTCTTAAAAAATAAAAGCAGCAACTTACTGTAAAAAAATTCATAGCATAGAGTTTATGAAATCATTTGTCACTGTTTCACAAATAAAACCTAATTCTATTAACCATTTTTTCAAATAATTCGGAAAAGGAAAAAAACGAGATCATGGATATCAGTTTGTTTACTAACCTCAGAATCGTTTAGACCATATAATGTACAAACACGGTTTCCATTTACATGCCTCATATTCAAGAGTGCATTCCTAACGAAAGAAGCAAGCGATTTTGTGTGCCTTCAAATTTTCAAACATCAGTTAAGAGTTAACTGTCGCAGAATCATCTCATAAACTACCAAATTTGCTCTTCTTCTTCTTTTTTTTTTTTAATAAGTTAAATGTCACACCTGGAGATAGCAGACATGGTTAATGAATTGAGGATTTTGAATCCATGGTGAAGGGAAGCAATGCTAACAAAAGGCAAGGTACCATCCTCGAGATATTCCTCAATACCATCTCTTCTTTTGTAAAAGTCCACATCTGCAATTGATGCAGCCACAGTTCCTGTAACAATTCAGAAGTTAAAAATTAAAAAAGAAACAGAAGTTAAAGAATCAGCACATCTATCAGAATAACTCTGCAAGAAGGGTTAAAATATATATACCTCCACTGAAATAGGTCTTCTTCAGTAACTTAGCAGACTCTGTTGGACGAAGCTGTTAGTTTGTTGCTTCATAACAGTGAAAAAAGCGAAGAAAATTCAACATTCAAAATGTCAGCCATCTTTATGGATCACAGACAATGATATATGTTTACCGTTTCGAGCAATAAGAGCTCCAATTCCAGTTGGATAGCCGAATAGCTGGAAAAGACCAAGATAACAACAATGCGATAAGCAGCATAATCCGAATTTTGGAAATCGGAATGAAAAAGCTTGTTCCAAAATCGGAAATTTTCCGATTGGAATCAGCTGAATTCGGATTTTCCAAAAAAATTTAATGACTTATAATATTAAATAAATAATAATATTGGTATTGTAAGTGTAATTTTCGGAAATAAATCTGAAGTTTCGGAGATTAGGATTGGATCGGAAATCGGCATCTAATATGAATTCCATTTCAGTTGCCAAGAATTGGAAAAATCATAAATCGGAGCTTTCGGCATCGGAATGAAAATGTTGTTCCAAAATCGATGGAATTTGGAAATTCCGATCCAATTTCCACCCCTAGATTAGATTTACACAAAGGTCTTGCATGAATACCTTATAGAATGAGACAACAACAAAGTCAGCCTTGTACTTCGATAAATCAGGCGGCAAAGTTGCACTTCCTTTTGCAGCATCAATCAGAACCATCCAACGACCACTGTTCATAGTAACCAGGCCCAAAAAAAAATAAAAAAAAATAAACAATCACTCGAATTAATTCAACATCCGTTGAATCGAATATAGTTTTTAACTTGTTTTCTTTTTTTTCGAGAAACACAATCTCTCGGACATATATACAATGAAATAAGATTAGTAGAACATCAAATAATGCGTAGTGAATAAAATGCCTATACCTGCGACTTGGAGAAGTGCCTTGAATTTCATATGAACCTTCCTTTATAACATTGACCAGGTCAAGGTCGAATTTCAAACCCGAAAAGTTGCATTCGGATGGAAATGCAAACAAATTGTATGTATCACCTGTAAATTGCATTTACCCACATAAGACGGTAACATACACAAAACCTCATTTCGACATTACTATAAATGCAATACACAAAACCTCATTAACTCAACTGGTTTGATCTGTTTTTCTACAACCAGATTCACTTCTCCTCTGCACCGTGTGTGGTACAACCTTAATGCCAGATTTACCCTCACCCCTTCGATCAACATCAGCATTATCTTCAATGTCTACAGCAACGGCTGCAGCACCTTTACCGAGGGCATACCTGAAAATAATTATTAAGGAATACAATATCCACAACAAATAAATTCAGCTTTCACCGTACTAAAAAAAATATTTATATCATTCAACGAGAAGGATACTCTCTTATACCAAGAACGCTATTGTGATTCTCCATTGTGTACATATAAGTACTCTCATCACTCCACGGAAACGTCTCGCCGATAAGTTTCAGTGCAGCTGTTGTACCGGATGTAAATATACATTTATACTCGCTAGGAGACGCGTTAAAGAAACTAAGTATCTGCACCCAAAAAAAAATCACAAACCACCCTTCAATATATGCAAAAAAGTGATACCGATAAAATTCGACATAGTGACTTACTTGTCGACGAGCATCGCCTACAGTATCACCGGTTGTAATGCTGCAGTTGCTCTGGCTATCTATATAAATATTCAAAATTAAGAATCCCAAACATATATCAAAGGTTTCGAAAATTTTGTTGAAATAGAGAAAATTGATAGTGTAATTAGGATACGGGGATTTCCATAGAGAGTGGAATTCAAATCCTTGAATACATCTTCCATTTGTGACTCTGAATACAAAGTTGCTCCAGCATGATCCAAGTACACTACATCTACGCAATCCAACATCATAAGAATCCCAATTCAGAATTTAATTAATTAATTAATTTATTTTTGAATGTGAATTAAAAATCATAAAGAGATGAAGGCGAAGTGTGCAAACCATTCAATCGTTTAAATTGAGTTGCTCTGATGTGATCAACGTTGTTGGGTGAATTCGGGTACCCGTAACCCGGCCCGAATTCCTTTAAGAACCGTTCCTTTTCAGGATTGGTGCTCATGTTGGAGCACAACAAAATTCGCGAGGGTAAATTAATTTCCGGTTACTTTGATACAGAAGAGAATATTATTGAAGACGAAGCAGCTAGAACACGCAATCGCGGTGTGGATAAACATGTAAAGATTCTTCTTCTTCTTCTTCTTCTTCTTCTTCTTCTTCTTCCACTCGGTTCGGCTGGCGCTTTACTGAAGAAACAATTCTAGATTTTTCTACTTAATTTTGCTTAATGAATAAACAAATGACGAATCAGTGTGTAATTAAAGATACAGTAAGCTTGAGTCGGTGATTAGCTGTTCCACTAATGGGGGTTAGGCAGGTGTATTTAATGTGATTAGTCCCATGGGTTTTATGGTTTTTTACGCATCTAAATTTTTATTATATATACTTTTTTATTATTCGTAAAAGCATTTAATTATTTTTTATTCACAAATAATTTTTTTTCTTTTTAAATTATACTGGTGAAAAAATTGAACATTTTGAAACTAATCCATTGGCCCGATTTAGTATGGGCTTTTTAATGGGCAATAAACTAAATAGCCCGACAAATTCAACTAGATTAATACCAGGAGAACAATTTTAAAAAAAGCCCAATTTATTTGAAACCGAGGAATTAGTAATTTTTAGAAAAAAATATAAATATTTTCTTATGGAAAGTAAGAAAAACTAATTTAACCATGTCACGAAAAAAACCTAAAAAATGGAAATGAAAAATATGTTCCAAGTTGGAAAAGTGACTAAATTCGAAAATTTCATGTTTAAACAGTATAAAATATATAATAATAATAATAATAATAATAATAATAATAATAATAATAATAATAATAATAATAATAATAATAATAATGTAAATGTAATTTGCATAAGAATCTTATTCATATATTCCAACTCCAATCCAAAAAAATCGATCAGAAAATATGTAATTTAGAATAAAGGGCCCCCAAAAAAAAAATCGAATTGTAATTGTTGCACAAGTATTTACTTGTGAACAGGGCCGGTTCTGAGGGGAGGCGAAGTAGGCGGTCGCCTAGGGCCCCGATTTTTTACGAAAATTGAGGGCCCCCAAATTATTTTATATACACTTTATATATTAGTATTTATTTTTAAAAATTTATTATATGTAATATTTTGGAACATCAATTCTAAAATAAATTTAAACTAAATGATCAATAGATATTTTTGCAATTTTCATAACTTTGGGGGCCCCTAAATATTAAATTTATGATGTCTTAATTACTTATTTTATTCTAAAATAAGAATCAATATTCATTAGTGTATTCAAGTTTATAAATATTTATGAAGTCTATTTGATATAAAGTTATACGTCACGGGAGGAAGTGAACCAGCAAATCATATTGTTTATTTTGAAATTTTTTTCCATATTTTTAGTTATTTTATATTCATACATTTCAAAAAATATTTCGGGGGCACTGCCCCCGAACCCCATAATCTTTTATTTCATCATTTTTAGAAAATATTATTTATATTTTTTTAGCACATTCAATTTTTAACACCTTTTAATAAAAAAATAGTTTTATCAAATAGGGGCCCCGTTTTCAGTTTTTCTTTAAATCTCGCATAGGGCCCCCAAATTCTCAGGAACGGCCCTGCTTGTGAATGTGTTTATTATATCTTCATTTATTCCGATATATGCATGTTATGTTAAGTGTTACCACACGTACGTACCGTACATACATAATTCTACTTCTTTGTTTTAATTACTTACTACGAATTCGAGTTTCAAAGTAATGCATGTTTAAAAAATTATAGGGTTTTGATGATCATGGTTCCACGTAAAATTGAAAAACCAACATTAAGCCTTGTTGTGTGTTGAATGACCATCTCAACCAAAAGCTTAAGCTTTTGGTTGAGATGGTCATTCAACATGGTATCAGAGCCAGGCCAAATGAAAGGTCCTGAGTTCGAATCCCACAGCCACCCATTTAAAAATATTTCAAGTGCAAGGCTTCAAATGTAATTCGCCTGCACTTGAGGGGGCGTATTGGAGATATTAATATTAAATGATACATTTCACTAAAAGCTTAAGCTTTTGGTTGAGATGGTCATTCAACATTGTGGAACCTTCCTAAATATAATTGGGTGGTAATTGACTGAGCTGGAAGTGGAAAGGATATAAAAGTCAGCGTCGGGTCGCATTCAACGTGTTGTTATACAGACAAAAGTCAACTGGCGGGGATTCACTTACCTGCAGCTGAAGATCTCTCGTTATCATGCATTATATATTTCCAGTCAGTGGTGGTGGGATTTTGATTGATCGATTAATTAATTAATATATCTCGATATATATATTGTTTCGTTTAGATTTTGCAACTGTTACACAAATAAAACACTACTGGATATGCAGCTGCAGTACAATCGTGCAATACTATGCAGTATATATCTATGTGTGCGTGTGTGTGTATATATATAATTGATCGATTATTTACCCCACTAAGATAAATGCAATTATTAAGTTGCCTTTCCTCACTTCTAAAGGACATAGATCGACACCCCATTCCAATGCCTTGGTTGCTGCAATTATTAATCCCTTTTGTTTCATTTCATTT